CACAAGATAGTATTGGTACCTATTTGGGCCCTCAGATTATCTTCTTATAATCCTTTCGGCCCATGCACTAAGCTCACTGAACCTCTAAAGTCAGGTTTATGCTGTGAAGTCTCATGCTCAGGTTTTAGCGGCCACTTAAAGGATCATGGGACTTAGTAACTAAGGTTAACATTAGGGTAACAAGTAGTAAAGATGTGTGTAGGAATTCCGGGTAATGTTGGATGAATGGGACTTTCCCCACCGATGTTCAGGACTTCGTGGTTTATAGGTTTTTAACCTATACTTTGCAACCCCAACTCACGCACATATACCCCACCTCCCTCCCCCGGTAGCCCCAGTGCGGTTTATGCCGCTAAGTTGCTGCGTTCGGGGCTGCAGAGGGTTTTAGGTTTGCATGGGCATTCAAGATAATGTTGGAGGAACAGGAGTTGAAGGATTTCAGACTTGGCCACCGGCTTCAACACAGTTTACTGCAATTTAGGTTACCTGGACCCCAAACGTATGTAGAACAATAGCCCTTTATGGGTATTGGGCCATCATTTTACCAACAATGGGAGGTTTAGATAATCACCAATGGCTTTGAAACAGCGATCAGGATAGCCGTATTGAGGCTGATGATTCCGAGCCTGGCAACAACCCAGTATCTCGAAGCCGTAAAGCCCAGGGTCCCGACCTGGACCCTGCACCCTAAAGTTCGGTTGCCCAGAGACTCCAATGTCCCTTGTAGGCTCCCGAATATGATGTAAGGAATAATCCTTAACTAAGGGATATTGGGGTCTCTGGTTAAAGCCTCGAACCATAAACCCCAAACCCCACAGCTGCAGCTTCAAATCTTTGCAGCCCTGAGCTTTCGGTAGTCTGACGAGGATCCTCCAAAGCGGCACGTACCAACCGGAGCTCCGCCAGGACCAGCGAAAGCTCGGCACGTCGTGTGGGCCTGAGGAAGGGCTATGGCGTCTTACACGGCTTTGTTGGGGTTTGCGGGGCTTGGTGAGGCCTGTTTCGAAGGCGGCATTTCACAAGGACTTTGATGTATGAACGGCTGATTTTGGCCATTCAGACCTAGCCTCCTATGATTAATTATCAACAACCTCTCGAAACGAAAGATGCAAAATCCTCCATAGCAAAGCAATTTCTGTATCAGGTTCACATCAAGGTTTAAGGGTTTAAGGTTTTTGGACTATGTAAATGTTCCGGGGCTTGACTCATGCGTTTACGGTCAGGGTCGCAAGGGGAGCACGACGAGACAAAAGGAAGCAAGCACGCAACTCCGGTGTTGTTCGCTGAACATACGGATCCCTCTTGCAATTAGGACCAAGTGTGCACAGTGACAGTTATCACTCGCCGAAATGCTCATTCCTCCATCTACTTTAACTTCTGATTATCTAGTCCCTAGGGCCCAAATATACAAATGAGTGGTTGTCAAAATTATGGCCGCTTTTTGGGTACCCTAAATATTAGGTGCCGTATTCCATTAAGGAACCAAAAAGGGACCCTAATTTTGACAACCACCCAAATGATTCCTACTTTCGCGACCCCTGTGCTCTTTGGAGCTCCAGAGAGTTGCGCTTTTCGAACTTCGAAGGACTTGCGTTGGCTACTTGTACCCAAAGGCCTCAAAGTAGTTCCTTTTTGGGGCTCATATATAGGATCCTATAAAGTAATCCCAAAAAGGAACTACTATGGGGCCTCTGGGTACTTGTAGTTACTTGGCTACTTGTGCCCAAAAGAATCCACATACTCCAATCAATGTAGGCCGAATTCCAGAATAACGTCACTATAATCCCACATCGAAACCTAATTAACTATTCAACACTGCAACACTGCTACCGTAAACCCTCCACGACAATCAGAATTGGAGAGACTAGGTGAAAGCGAACATCGAACCCAGGCGCCCGCAATGATGGGACATGGCGTGCATGTGCCTGGCATGACGCTTCGGGGGGTTGGGTGTCAACAGCCCAGGATTGAGGGTTCGCAGCCTTGCAACGCCTATCTTCGGACCATGATGCTACGCCGCGACGCCGCAGTAAGTATACAAATTCTGGAGACTCACCAAACCAGAGACTCCAATGTTCCTTTATTTAGCAATTTCCCATAAAAGATAGTAGGATCCCTAATATATGGTCTAAGGTATATTCCTTAATCAAGGGATTGGAGTCTCTGGGTAGGTTGCAGTAGTTGAAGACGAGGGGTTCCAGATGGGCCCTATTTCGCACTGACGGGCCAAGTAGAGGCAAGATTTGGATCTGATACTATAGGTGTCAATTTCAAGAACCCCCAACAGTACTTACAGTAAGAGCTCTAGACTAAACCAAGAAGGGAAAGTAACAGTTATTGCCTAATCGGCACCTAGGATGAGGCGGATAAGGCTCAGCACTTTTCAAATTTGGTTTGATACCAATGGTTTACTTATTCTGAAGATCCGAAGGGGAGCCAAGAAGGCCCCCAAAACAACAACAGCTGCACACTTACCTTGACCTTCTAAGGCCCTTAAAGC